ATGTAATGCCATTAAAACCTAGAAAATGTTACAAAACTTAAAAAAAAAAAAAAGCATCATCATTAAATTAGGAGCAACCCAGTTTTCTAGTTGTCTATAGTTTTTTTTCCTGCAGTACCTAAACTAATTCCGAAAATTTTCAAATTAGTCTTTCTGGGTTTGAAAATAGATTTTACAATGATAATCTGTGTACTGTTTTGTTGAGTCCTCATCTAGATGGACAATATAACAGAGGGGTTAATGGTAACAACCTAAAAAAATTATGACCAAATAGTCTCACTGCTAAATAGACAACATGGTGTTTGGTTGTGTTTCTACCTGCAAGCGAACACTTAATTATCTGAAAAGGGAGCTTCAAGTAACGTGCAGTGATCGGCAGCACTCTAGAGAATGGTAGAGTTTCGGTGCATCCATAGTCTGCATACGCTACCTTCACCTCAGACGGAGAAACTCCCAGAACGATAGCTCTGTACCAATGGCCATCACCTGAAAAAAAAAATTGGAACAAAACATTTGAAGTGCTTTACTTCCAGAGTTACATAATCATCCATCTAATCTATATAGCTTTCCAGAATTTAAAGGAGATTATTCAGAGTACATGGATACTGTAAAAACAAAAACAGAAAACGAAACACTGCCATTTAGAAGTACTAATTTTTTTAAAAAAGAAAATCAACATCAGAAAAGAACTAAGCTATGTTACAGATGTTTCAAACCCTCCAAAACCTCAACTTTTCTTAGTTACGAAATACAGTTGTGTTCAAAATTGGATCGTATGCCTTTTGACAGGAAAATCTGTAGAAGTCCTGGTGAGGGCATGGGATACGAGAGAAAGACTGAGTTTCCTCCAAATCGTTCCATCTGAGATTTGATAGAGAGTGGGAATGTTCCTCCCCACCTTATGTCTTGCAAATCTCAAAAGATCAAGGTCACCCAGGTAAGGCCATGTGAACATACACTGACTCTATGGGCTCCTGTTCTAGCTCCTTGGCTGCACAGCTCAGTGATACTAGGAAAATCTGGCACAAGAAATGAAGGAGAGTCATGACCCATGGGTCTTGAACCCAGTTTCACAGGATCCATGGGGACAACCACACGCCAACGCTTAACGTGACAGCCTGCTTGCAATGGCTTACCTGGGACCCATGAAGCCCAGCATCAGGATGAGGCTCCACCTCTGAGCCCCAGAGCAGCTGATTGGCACACTGGCTCTACTTAAGCCAGCAGCAGGAAAGGGAAGCTGTCCAAACCACTCTGCTCTGGACTGTGTGCCTTGTGCTTCCTGCTCCTGCTGCTTGATTTCCTGGCATCCTGACCCAGGTGGACTCTGGTTCCTAACTTGTGGTTCTGATACTCAGTTTGTCTTTTGCTTCTGATCTCCCGGTATCCTAACCCAGCTAACTCCTGTCCCGTGACTGTAAACTCTGGCTCTGACTACTACTTGTTGGGACCACAATAACCCTATAGGACTGAGCCTGGTGCAAGAAGGTTGGACCCAACTGCACCACAACAGCCACCAGGTGTACCGACTTGCCTGAATGGGCCCCCTGCCTCCAGGCAGAAAATCAAGCACTGCAGGCCCAAGTAACACAGCTGGCCTGGGACAACCAGCGGCTACAGGAGCAAGTGAGGCAGCTCAGCACTGAGAATACTGCGCTGTGAACACAACCTACAGCTCCTTGCCCCAACCAGGGGCCTGCAATACCCTTTCCTGAACCGTTCAACGGGAACCACCAGCAGTTTGGGGGCTTCACAAACCAGTGCCACACCTCGTTTCTGATGTGTACCAAAATCTATGCCTCTGATAATGGCCTTGGTAATCAGCCTGCTGCCAGGAAATTTATTAGACCCCCACCCCACCCCGGCACTGGAAGGCCATAGCCCAGTGCTGTCTAACTGGGATGCCTTTCTCCAGTCGATATCAGCCATCTTGGATGACCCACACCAAGTTCAAATGGCCAAGGGGCTGCCCTGAGGAGACTCTGGCAGGGGCGAGGCACAGAGGCCTCCTACACAGCACACTTCCACTGCCTCACAGCAGATGCAGAGTGGAATGAAGCAGAGCAGCTATACCAGTTCCAAGGCGCTTGCAGGAAGAAATCAAAGACAAACTAATCTGCGAATCTGGCCATGCCATCTTGGCGTGCCCAGTAGAAGAGCCGAGGAGGTTGGGGAAAACAAGCCAGCCCAAGGATAATGGGGGGGAAAAACAGACCCGTATCCTAGTCCTCACTGAAACGCACCCTCAGCCCCATCTTGGGGCTTCCCATTTGTAGGTGCCTATCCAGCTGCGCATCCCAGGGGACCCCCTGAGTGATGAGGATGTGTTAGAGGGGAATCTATCAGGACCAGCAAACAATTTTATGGATGCAGTTACAGCTCAGGCCCTACAGATTCCCCTGCTACACAAGGCTGTACCTGACTTGATTAACACAATTGTCAGATCATCTCCGCTATCTTCAGGTCCAGTCGCGGAGGAGACTGTCCCCCTATGTCAGGAACACTGAGCAATAATACAATTCAGTGTGATCCATTCCCCACATTTTCCCCTGATCCTTTGCAGCTCCTGGATAACCATTCATTATCCTTTTATTCACTGGCGAGAACAGGTGGGCACTTTCCCATCATAATTCTGATGACAGCATAGCCAGAGACCAGGAAGCGCTGCACCCAGACCCTAGAGGGTTCAAGTAGGTGTAGTCACCTGCATTGAAACACCTACTGGGGGAACTATGGAACATCTCCCCAAATACTCTGACTATACTGATGTCCTTGAGAAAAAGAATACAGAAAGCCTCCCCCGACACGAGAACTATGACTGCCCCACAGAACTCCAGCCGGGGTGAAGATTCCATTTGGGCAGATATACGCCGTATCAGAGCCTGAACTGGCTACGTTGGGAGAATATCTCCAAGATAACCTGGCCCCGGGGTTCACTCGCAAGCCGACTTCACCAGCCAGTGTCCCAGTCCTTTCCGTAAAAGCCCCTGCTTCTGTGTCAATTACCAAGCCCTAAATCAGATAATCTGGAACCGTTACCCACTACCATTTATCCCTGAATTGTTCGAAAGCATGGGGGCCACTCGCATATTCACTAAAATGGATCTCCAGGGAGCTTACAACTTGTCCACATCCAAGAGGGGGATGAATGGAAGATTGAACATAGCAGGTTTGAAAGGCACTTTGAATATTTAGTTATGCCATTCGAACTGACTAATGCCCCAGTAACATTCCAGCACTTCATTAACAATATGCTATGAGACCTACTGAACCAGTTCACAGTAGTATACTTAGATCTTATATTGATCTTCTCAGATGATATGGACCAACATACCACTCACATCCATACACTCCTGCACAGATTAGGACAACAGAGTGTCTATGCTCAATCCATGCAAGGTCCGGTCTGCCTGCAACTGGGCAGCCCTCTGCAACATGCATGATCGAGGATATTTTTAAAGTTCGCAAACTTTTAGCAGAGGTTCATTTTGAGGGGAAAAAAAAAGCCACGCCCTGCTCTGGAAAAATGTTCCGTTCCACAGATCACCCGAGGCCCAGTGTGCATTTGAGCAGCTAAAACTTGCCTTCACTGCTCCTGTATCAGCCCTCCCAAACATGATGCAAGTTTTGTTGTGGAAGTAGACACGTCTAGCACAGTGATTGGGGCAATCCTCTCTCAGACGCCTGGAACCAAGCAAATACTGCACCCCATCACCTACTACTGGAGGAAGCTTATCCTTGCTAAATGAAACTGAGATCTTGGACAAAAAAGCTCTTGGCAATTAAGACTGCCTTCAAAGAGTGGTGACAGTATTTGGATGCGGGATCTGGAGTGGGTCCAGGGATGAGAGGCTTGGGGTGCAGGCTTCTCCGGGGCTGTGGCGGGGAGAGAGGACTCCCCCCAGCAGCCCGGGCTGAGACACCTCTCCCTGGCCACGGCAGCTCCGGCGGGGCCGGGACAGAGGCGTCTCTTCCCATTACCTGCCTGCGCGTGCAGCCCTTAATGGCCGCGCAGCCTAGAGAGAACTTAGGTGCACAAAGTCCTCAACTTTAAGATTAAGATGGACAAATTATGGTACTGATTGACTGGGAAGGTTACAGCCTGGAGGAACACACTTGGAAGCCAGCTGAGAACATTCATGCTTTCACCCTGGTTCAGGCCTTCCATAGGAGCCATCCTGAGAAACTTAGACCCATGTTGCCCAGAGGGTGCCCCTAGGGGAAGGGATGATGTCATGATCCATGTGTCTCAAACCCAGTCCACAGGGTCCGTGGGAGCAACCATACTCCAACCCTCTACATGGTAGCCCGCTCACAATGGCTTATCTAGGACTCATGAAGCCCAACCCCAAGACGAGGTTCTGTCCCGAGGTCCAGTTGGTCAAGCCCCTTGGCAATTGAGTGGCTCACTGGCCCTACTTAAGCCAGCAGCAAGCACAGAAAGGTATCCAAAACAACTGAGCTCCACCCTGCTCTAGACTGTGCGCCTTATGCTTCTTGATTTCCTGGCATCCTTACCCGGCTTGACTCCTGGCATCTGACTTGTGGTTCTGGACCTCCAGTTTGTTTCCTGGTTCTGACCTCCTGGTATCCTGATCTGGCTTAACTCTGGTTCCAATTTCTTGTTTGTCTTCTGATCTCCCGGTATCCTGACTCAGCTGACTCCTAACTGCTGTTGCATGACTGCGGACTCTGGCTGCAACTACTAAAGTCTGACTGCCCATGACCTGGCCTTGACAAGGAGAGTTCTTCACATCCCAGCACAAAAGGAGGAAAGAGGGATCTTCACACAATTTAATGAAGCATCAACTGCACCACTTAAAGCAGCAATTACATTTTATTAACTGCTGTCTCAGTCTTAACTATAGCATCTCTGCTGTAACATTAGTTGTGTTTTCTGGGTGTTTATACAAATCCTATGTATTTTTTTTTTTAAATTACCTAGTCCTTTGACCTACCACGAGTGCTAGCTTTTATTTACTTCTAAGGGACATAAATTCCTCAACATCTCTTTTAATCCCCCAACTCAAATAGTAAAGTAAATCAGAACTTCAACTCTGTTGGCCATCTTTTCATCTAGTACTTGACTTCAGTGCCTAGATTTAACACTGTGTTTTGTAGTATTTCTGTCCATCTCTGGTGGAACCGTTGACAGATCTGACACCCTTGTGCTTCACTTTACAGGAATGTTCTGTTGCTTGCAGCTATACCACTTTGGACTGTGATCTTGACACCAATGTCCAATCATGTAAGTAGGTGCAGGCCCGGTCAGTACTTGGATAGGAGACCTCCAAGGAAAATTCAAGTGCTACAGAAAGTGATGTTTATGGATTTCTTTGGCAGAACTCGTCTTTGAAACAATACTGAAATAAACGACTCAGTCAAGCCACCCCTCTGGGTTGTTCCTGAAGAAATTTATTTTGGATAACATATAAAACTGCTTAGGAATAGGGGAGTTCACTCAAGTAGCCTCACTGAATTCCAATTTAGATCATTATATTGCCCCTCCTAAAACTCTATGGATTTTCAGATGCCTGAGGCACTCTACTTTCTAGCCTAGACGGTCACATATTGTTTGTAACTAAAGAGAAGCCATATATAAAATGAAATATGGCAATGTTTTGTGGCATACAAAGGATTTTACAAATCTCTCTTTTCTTAAAGGTTTGGACTTTGCCATCTATCCTTTATAACATGCCCAAGTTTTGCAATTCAGCAATTCAGATCACTTTTCCTTTTTTAGAATTAACTAGAATTCTCTCTCACCTGCAAACTTGGCACAACAGGCTTCACCGACTTTTGGTCTGAAGGAGTGACTGTTCTGAGTGTTGCAATATTCTACCAGTTCAGCCATCAACCTACACAACTTCTCTTTATCTACTAAAAGATAAGTGAACAGAATCTGTTAGTACTGCATGAAGTTTCAAGCATGATAAATATACATACCATAAGAAAGCTTATTATTAGGCTTGATTTTACCTAAGTTACCTCAAAGCTTTTTTAATAGAAATATTTATATTTTCTGCATTTTTCTTACTGTCTGAAATGTATTTTGGTAGTCTCTCAATTATTATTACAGTGTTAAACATCTTGCATCCGTCTTCCAAATATATTGCTACCAACTAGATAAACCAAGAGATTTTCTTCATTTCTTACCTCTGGTTTCACTTGGTAGAGCATAAAACAAGTCTGGGCTTATCACTTCCATTACACGGACTGATACAGTTTCATTGATAGGCAATTCTATTGTCTGCCACTGCTCAGAAGAGGTTTCTAAAGTAATTAGACACAAACTAGTAAAGCACAGAGCAAAGCACTTCTACACATATATACAAGTTCATCACAGTTGCATGTCTATTAACTTAAGTAACATCTCCTGTCTATCAACATGTTCCTGTCATTTTAGTTTGATCGCAGTGAAATGAAAACTGAACACTGACACTAATACACTGGATATTCTGTTAATCAGAAAATATCTAATTTATTTACAATCAATCAATGCTAGTTAATTTTAATATTGCTGAAAATAAGACACTAGAACCCACTATGCAATAGACTCTTTAGTCATACTTCAAGTTTGCTATAATTTGTTAAACAACTATTACTTAAATATACTGTAACACACAACCCCAATGACTTGCACATTTACCTATCTTTTGCCTATCATGCCACCTGCAGGACAACTTGCACCCAATCTCAAACTTCATGATGTATTTAAAACTAGATAGATACATTTATTACATTTTAGACATGGTCAAAAGGAGAGACTGATTGAGGGATACCCAATTTTCTTATCATTCCAATCCAAAAAGAAGTTAACAAGACTGCTTTAGTTACCTTGAGGCTCTATTTTCTCAGCAGACGTATTTGGTAGCCCATCTTTATTTGGCAAACCTTCCTCTAAAGCCAATTTTTCACTGATTAAAATTTCACTGATTATTCTTGGACAACCTGTGGAATTATCAATGAGCTCTATTCCAGCACCACTTTTGTTGACAGAAACTACTCTGGCTTGAAGTTTAATTCCTGCAGTGCACATCTGAAATCTTGCTGTGGCTTCTGGGAGCCATTCCTTGTTAACAGGTTTTACACCTAAGGAAACAAGACAAGACTTAAAAAGATCTTCTCATTCACAATTTAAAAAAAAACAAAAAACACACTCTTAGTTTTACCCAAATTTTAAAAATGTCCAGTTAGCTAGAAAGAACACTTTTGCTGCCATAAGGAATGTGTAATCTAAGTTTCAGAGTAGCAGCCGTGTTAGTCTG